CAATTATTATAAGATTAATGATTTTTTCAAAAATTAAAAAATAAAATTTTAAATAGATTTTAAGGAGCTGTATAAATTTTGTATAATTTATCGATTCAAAAGGGTTTAATATAAATTTTTATGAAGCTATATTTATAAGTTTTATAATAAATAAATAAGATTATCTTAGAAATGCTGAATTGAAATTGGTCGATTATTTAGTCATTTGGGTGATACCTCGAAACCTTTAAATAATACGTACAATTTGCTTTACAACTACTACCTTGATGAATATTACTCAAATAATCTGAGATTAATTACGATTGCTTTTAATCCACGGTAAAAAATTAAAAAAAAATATATATGTATAATACTTTACCAATGCTGTTAACTGTTTTTTTAAAAAAATAGCACGCCATAGCTGACAGAGGTCTGCAAATGGCTAAATATTTAGGCAGACCGCTGTTGAAATTTTGTAAATACCGTGTCCGACCTAATATTTTTCCGGCCAGGCTTGGTTTAAATTTTTTTTTTAAATACAAGGTCTAAACCCAATTATATGATGTTGAACACAAAATAAACAATTATTTATAATCTTTGGGAGTGGTTAAATTATAAACATTGTAATTCGATGATTATCATTAACACTTCTGTGAAATATCGGAATTAATCAAATATATACAAAAATTGAGTGGTCCCAAAATTTTTTTTCAAACATCGAGCAGAGTTACCTTTTTCAAAAAAAAAAAGCTCTAAAGCAGATATTTTTTTAAAGTATTGATATATCGATCCTTCCCTAAATTTTTTCCTTTATCTTCTTCTATAGTGTTGTCGGAAACCTGGATTTGGTCAACAGTGCTAATTCAGCATATTAACCAAAATATTTATCTAAGCTTATATATTGTTTTGGACCTTTTTTTTGATAACATTTCGAGGCTTAGAAAATATTTATTTAGCTAAAATCTTGATATTAACGCTTTTTTAAAAAATAGGTTCAATAAATTTCTAACTTAATAATAATTAGTAATACATAAATACGGATCCCAAGTTATTATGGTCTATCCGCGCCGATAAAAATATTAATTCAAACTCAGCCTATAATATGTACACCTCTTCAAATGATACACACAGATATAAAATTAAAGGTTATAGAAATACTACTAACGATGATGCTGTTACAAGTGTAAATATCCTTATAAAAATGAAAATATTTTATTAATTGAATATTTTTTGTAGTTACGAATTGTGCAACCGTACAATGGATCTATTGAAATTTATGAAATTCATGAATCATACATATTTTACAGAGGTTCACTGGGATTTCCAGATCTAAAATTACTAGAAATATTTATCAAATACCCAACGATAATATTAGTTCAATTCCCCTCTCCAGACCTAATGTTAATGTCATAATACAAAATTGCGAGGAAAATGAGATATATATAAAAAAAATTTTTTTAATATATAGTAAATATTATGCAATTTTATCTTCAGACTTTGGATTAGCTAACTTTAAATCCATTTTCGGAAAAAGTAAATTTTAAAAAAAATTCATTTTATTATGTACGTAATACCAAATTGATATTTAAAAAAACTTATATAAGTAATGTATATTGACATACAGAATATTTCCCATCACGTGTTATTTGAAGGAGTTTACAATTTGATTATATCCCAAGAAAATTTGACAATTTTTATGAAGTTAAATATTTTATTTTAAATATAAGATTAATCTCTCAATAATTTTGGAAATATACCCTTGTTTCCCTACGCTTTATATTCCTTTCGAGCGCGTCATAGATTTAATGTACATTTCCTCTTATTATTATTATAGAGACCTATCTACTTATAGTTTATCAATGTTCGATATCCCGATTGAAGATATAAAGATTGCCATAAAATATTGGGAAGATTTTCAAATTTATTTAAATAAAAAGGTCATAATGTTAACCCCTTGTATTTAATATATAGTATATATTCAATAAGCATATGTGGGATCGTAAAATATATGAAACCTTAACAAAATATTATTACATTTAAATGAGATTTGTTTTTAAAATTTTTATTATACATTACTTCATTTTTTTTTACAATTCATTTTAAGAGCTATAAATTTATTATAATATGTAATAAACTAAATTTCGATTTAAAAAAATAAGATGATTATAGAGGTGAACAACAATTTATCTGCTCTCTAGGGATGATCTCCATCAAATACGGCACAGAATATCAAATTCTCGTAAAAATGAATGAATCTGTATGGAACCTTGTATCACGATGGAATAGGATTTTATCATAAAAATGAATTTAATTATTATAAAGATTAATGATTTTTTCAAAATTAAAATTTTAAATAGATTTTAATAGAATCCCTCGTTGGAATCTTCGGTCCAGCAGAGATCCGTTTCCCAGCTCTTTAAAGAAGTCTAGGGCATGAGTTTTCTAATATGAATTGATTCTCGTTTAAGCTGGATCCCTAAATTATATATATTTTTCTTTATATAATAAAAATTACCAGTAAATTTTTTTTCCCCATCAGAAATCGACATTTTAATAGTTGAGAAAATGGTGAAGCTAATATCTACTCTATTAATATTTAAAAAAATTTTTTTTTTATATTTTAATCAGCTGGTTTTTTCACAATAGGAACAATAATTTTATTACCTAGTAGCTATTATTTTATTGATTTCTTGTTTTTATTGTTATATTTTGAGTTTGGACTCATTTCATTTTAAAATCAAAATTTAACTTTGAACGCACTAAAAAAAAATTTCACAAATTTAGATGGTAATAAAAGTCAACACTAATATATCTGCTATTTGCTCGTTATGCTTATAGATATCAATAAAGGCTCAGAATATAGAATTCACCTGGGAAATCATCAATCTCTAATAATGCCGTGCATTATTTATTCAATTATGGGAAATTTAGTATAATTAAGAATCAATTGCCTTTATTTTTTATTATGAACTAATCGTAAAATCATATTCATTTTTCTTTTAAAACTAATTTTATACGCTAATAACTATATGGCAATTATTGAATAAGACAGTTCAAACTTCACCCTGAAAATTTGTCACACTGAGATTGTCCCTTGACATTTTGGGGAAATGAAATTGATTTTGTACGTTATAGCATTACATATAAGAAAGAACGCCTCCCGCTAGATAACAGAAAAAATATAATAAGTGACTGAGTATTCCATTAAGGATATTACGCGGTTGTGTTTATAATTAATTACAACGTTTATTAGATTTAGTGATTATTGGTCAAAATTTTATAAAAATTACATATATTACAAATAATTTTTTTTTTATTATAAGGGTGTCGGTATTTCTAAAATCTTTTTTTTTGCTACATAATTATATTGCTTTTTTATTCGTGATACAAATATAATATCTATCGAAAAGCCTTAAAACTATGAACCAATTGAGAAAAGCTGTTTTATAAGAAATCTATAAAATATGGTTGTTGTTAAAAAACCTTGATTCGATTTTTTTTTTTTAAAAAAAAGGGGAAAAACAAGATTTTGACAAAAATATCTATCTTTGGCCAAAAGATGACAGTAAATGTTTACCCTTTTTAGCGAAATTGTGAGGATAAATAGTCATTTCCCTGAACTTAATTTAAGCGAAATGGCGTAGTTATGGGGAAAATTCTGGTTTAGACCAAGAGTCAGATTACATGGTAGGGAGGGGTTAATATTCCTTTAGTTGAAACTGGGATTAATTCTCATATGTATACCTGGGTCCCATATAATATAACATTTTGAATTCCGCGTTCCAAAGGTAAAAACAACAGTCTTTTATTTACAGCAGGAATTTGAGACATTATATATTATGTCCCATCGTGTTATTGAAGCACTTACAAACTATTAACCAACTTAAAAATAAATTGTTATAATAGTTGTTAAGTTTTAACCAATTTGGAATAAATAAAAGATGGGCTGCTAGCCATATGGCTGCCACGACCCCAATTTCTTCGTTATTCTAGGACCCGAGTAAGAAATTAAGTTGCATAACATAAACTTATTTAATAATTAACGATCGGTTCCATATCATTTTAGCGAAACTTTTATCGCGCATGTCGTTTATCACAAATTTTTCACAGCGAAACCCTTATCGCAAAAACATTAAAAGTGAATACATTACAGCGAAACTTTATAGCTAAGTCATTATCACGAAATGTATAGTGAAGGCCAACTAAACACATATCGCGAGAATATTATAATAGGGTATTTAATATCACGAGGTCAATATCTCGCTAATTGCACTATTTTATTTTGAAGCACTTATTTTTATGATCCTATTTAAATTAAATGAATAATATTTATTAAAAAAAATATGGGCATAAGATTTATTCAATGATTTAATTTTCTTTCAACCTTAATAAATTTATATAATGGTTATTAAACAGATTATAATAATATAAATATCTATAAAAATATTTAGAATAAATTCTTTCAGTCACTTTAATCTCATAGGGCTTGACAAAATTTTTGCTATAAATAGTTTTTTTTTCTTACTATACTGGTTAAAGCACTCTCATTAGTACCAATAAAGCATAAAATATTGATATAATTGATTTGCTTTAATCGTAGGGCTTGACAAAATTTTGCTATTAATAGTATTATTCCTTTATATTAGATACTATACAGGTTAAAACACTCTCATTAGTACTAATAAAGCATAAAATATTGACATAACTTATAACTAATTGGCTTTAAATATATAATTCGTTTACTAACAAATTCAATCAGTAATTTATAATATATCTATTATATTTAAATTTATTATCGGTGCACTGATTTCCGTCATACGCGCGTCGTTGCATATTTTTAAAATTCGCGCTAGTCACCGATAGTTTAATGGGAACGCAGGTCTACTTATATCTTATTCTATACAAAAATAATTTACTATATAGAATATGCATATGAAAAAAAAATCAGTTTGAAAGGACTGTTCTTTTTTTTCCCGTTTATGATAAATTATCTGGTACATTTTCATATAATGATTTTAAAATAATCGAATTACACAAACATATATAAATATATATATAAAATTATATGGCATTCAGGTCATTTGCATTTAACAAAAAAATAGAGTGTTATAAAATGAGCCACAAAGATCTTTTATACATAACAAGAAAGTATGTTCAATATATTTCATCCTAAACTCGCTCGGTTCTTTAGGCTTCCACTTCTTCTTCCGTTTTGATTGATTTCACCATATCAGCTTCGGTCAACGGGTGGGGTGGCAGGCCCGTTATATCCTTCTCGGCCTCCATCTTAACCCTTAATTCTTCCATGTTCCTAAACCTATCGCTGAGTTCTAGGTATTTGGCGTAACTGGGCAAGTCTTTAAACAATGGATCGGGTTTCCTGCGGGCCTTAAAGAGTTTTCCACCGTCGGTGTATAGGTCTTCGAAGGAAGGGGGCTATCGGACGAGTATTGTTAGGTTAGGTAACATCAAATTGGGAGCCAAGAGATTTTAAATAAAAATAATTACTTTATCCTTAGGGATTTTAAAAAAAAGCGTTAACAAAATGTTATCTTTGTTATCAATTTTTTTTATATTACTATTACTAAAATCCATAAAAAAAACTTATCTACCAATTTTACAATATTTCTCATATTAAAATATAAAACACAAATATGTGGTTAAATTTTTGCGCGTTTTAAAATTTTATAAAATAGTTCTTTAAGCATGCTTTTCGCTGTTTTTTCCCCGTTTTTTTACATTAAAAAAAAACATTAATTTTAAGATCCAATCCCTTAAAATTAAAAAAAAACCTTCCATAACCAATTAAGAGTGCCTAGCCAAAAAATATTTGCAATATAAAAAAAACAAAACTTTCTGAGCAGGATTGACAATTGTGGCATCTTTGGGGGCGGCTAAAACCGTGGGTAGAAATTCGGTCTCTGGAGAAAATTCTACAATATTATATCCGGTTCGATCCGCTAACTGTTGGTAGGTTTCCTATTTAATGTAGTAATATTTTATTTATTAATTTAATATTCACTCAACAGTAAATATATATGTGCAGGTTACAAAAAATCTAAATAAGAAAAAGACTATTCCATAAATGCGAATATGAATTGTTCGAATCGGAGACAAAATTTCGAATCGTTTAGATTCATAATCTTGTATCGTCATAAGATTCAAAGAATGTATAGCTTATAAATGCCCTCAATGTTTGGATCTTATAATGTTACAAGCCACAATGAGTATTGGGGAAATCAGCTGGCAAATTTAACTTAAACCGCTAAGTTAAATCGTATTGTTTTTTTTTGGTAAATCTCGGAAAAATCTGTTTTGGAGTAAGTCGGAATAAAAATTTAGAAATAATAAGCTAGGAGAGCTGGGCAATACAGTGAATACTTTCTTAGAAAAAAATAACTTGTATCTTCTTATATCCTTTTGACATTTTTAATAAAGATCTGTATCTGAGATACTTAATTTTTAAATGAATCTTGTATTTAATCAGGATTTTGTGTGAATATTCACTTTTAATTTTAAGCCAATCAGGAAAAAAATGAGTCTCATTAATATTGCTATTGAATGTCAAGAGAAGAATATTAAAATTCTCTTCTCTAATTAACTATTTATGCTAATTTAATAAATAATTATCAAATAAATTTTTTCATAAAAAAAAATATTTTGTATCTGAGATAGTCCTATTTAGCAAAACAAGTATGTTTTAGATTTTTTAAATAAAATTCTTGTATCTGAATTGAAGATACAATTTAAAAAAAAATCTAGATCGCTTTTGGTTAGGACCCGTTAAACTCTAAGCGCTAGCTAATACATTCTGAATTTTGTAGGTCCATAACTGTTCTTATTATTTTTTTAAATATTTGTAAAGCAACAATGTATTACAAGTAACTGCCCTTTGTGTAAAAAAATAAGCCAATTCAAAACGTTCACATCTTAATTCCAATTTAAAAAATATTGGATCGATACTTTTTAAAAATCGATCTGTTAATGTATTTTGTAATTTATATTGATTACATTAAAAAAATATATATGACATCGGATAAGGACATTAAGGCTATGTTAATAGAACTCAAACTTGTTTAGCGAGCATTTGAATGGCGCATCGCGTTAAATTGTGATAATTTTTGACGGACCCTTCAACCTTGGCGTAAAGATCCTTGATGCCCACCATTTCGCATATGGTTTTGATGACCCGGTGAGCTATAATTCCGTGTCCTATATATATAATTTTGTTTCATGAATAACAAATAAAATATATAAGTTTTAGAATTTCTTGGTTTCTATCTAACCGATCTAATCTACCTCATCTATCTAGCTATCTATCTATCTATCTATATCTATCTAATCTATCCATCCATCTGTTTTATAAAAAAGGTTTATTTAATCTCTACCCGGCGGTGCTCGGAAGATGTGCACTTTAGTCCCGAATTCTTTGCCATATAGCGTATGATAAACTGTTTTTAAAACAAAAAAATAAGGTTAAATTAAATGTTTGAAAAAATAATAATATAATATATATGCTACTTTCATTTTTTTAGAGATCTACCAGACCCAACATTTTTCACTAATACTTATTCACTCGACCGGGTTTGACACCGGAATCTTAGCCGGATCCAAAATAAGGGATACCCCAAATTAGTTACGTTATATCGCCAATTTAAATTAATATTAATTCCTTTCTAAATCCATCTTCCTTTTACATATATATATAAGAGAATTACTGGTACGATCGTCGTGCCGCTCCACGAATATGAGATGTTTGAAAGCTTTATTCTTGGCTTTCCTCAGCGCCACTTTGGCTTCCGGAGATCTACTAAAGGCCCATCCTAATAAATAAATATAAATGGGTTTTATTTATAATATTGTTAGACATAATTTAGTTGTTGGTAAATATCGACTAACTAGTACTGTCCCCCTTTTCCCTTATATTTTCAGTGTTTTAAAAACATTAAAAACCAAAATATAAATAACAGACCTATGAGTCCCTTTTTATTGCCAGTTATAACTATGCAGCTAAAATTGCGCTTCCTTCCCATATTTCCCGTCATGTGACACACGATCCTGAGCTTGAGAACCTTCGAATCGAAACCGTGTTCCGTTTTCTCCGTAGCCAATATTTCCTCCTTTTCGTTCTCGTCATATTCCTCCGAGTAATTCCCGTGGGTGAGTGCATCGGGAGGCCCAAGTCTACGCCCAGCCATGATGCCACCTGACCAACCCTTGTCCATGTTCGAAAGTTTGAGTGGCTTGAATTTGTATATTTTGTCCCTTTTTATATTTTTATGATAATTGTTGATTTAGAAATCTATCTTTATTTTGCATTTATTATCGTGTTATGTCGGGCGTTCACAATCCAAAAATTTATTATTAAAAAAAGGTGCAATTCGGATGAGTTTAGAAAAACCAAAATTGAAATCTATTTGTTTTATCTGTCAAAAATATGTCAAGATATATTTTTGCTTCGGATTTATGGGGTGTGGGGGGGGGAGCGATCCAGTAAAATTGATCTTAATTATCTTGAATTCATAGTGGCGCGATGGCGAGCGATTTAACAGCTGATCGATTTTTAAAATATGTTTATGAGATCGAATTTTTATTTATCAATACTAATTTCATCTTTAATTTTCAATTCATAATAATAATCTGAGAGACAATGATTTCGATAAAGACAAATTGATCTCATAAACAGATTTTTTTTAAAAAAAAAACTGTCAGCTGTTAAACCGCGATGGCATTCGCGCCACTCCGAAATCAAGGTTAATCAAATACGTATATTCTATATTCTCCGGTTCAATTTCTTAAATTCATAAACTCCTTTAAAAAAAAATATAAAGAATCAAAATGAATCGCGCGTGTAATTTCAACGTTTAGCTCGATGATCTTTAACGCGCGACGTGTGACGACATCTGGGCATCCCATGTTTAAATTTAACAGCATGAGAGTACTAATCAATTGCTAGGGACATGCTCTTTTACCCGATAAATTTGCCTTCTAAGGATATCTTCAAGGGAATTTTGCAGATGAATTTTATCAAAATTTTTGTCTCACATTTTAAGATACGAATTTTATCTACCGGGTTTTCATTATAGGCATAATATTACACAAATTACTTCCAGAATGATTTTTTATTATGTTTTAGGCTTTATCGATAATATTATCTGTTGCATATATTTTGATACCTCTGATGATAAATTAGCAGGCTCCAGGATGTTAAATAATTTAAGCCCTGATAAGAGAACGGCGAATAACTGAAATTAATAGCTGCGTCTTGCAAGAGCAATTTATAAAGATATATATATTAGCTTTGTGATATAAAATGTCTATTTTACTGTTCTGCGGCATATATACTAGATATATATTTTTCTTATCATACAAGCAAACGTTAAATTATAGTTGATACTATATATATTCTTCACTTATTTTCCTGGGTTAAAATCCCTACATCAATCTCACGAATATTTTCATTTGTCATATGCAATTGTGTTCGTCTCGAAACCTTGATTATATATGTTATCATTTTATACGTTTCCTAAAAAACTTGAGTGACTATAATTTTTATGAACGTTTCTAACAACTCAACTCTTCAGCACTCTCCAGTGCGGTTTATAGGAACCTCCAAAAAATTATTAAATATTTTTTCAGAGACCTGCAAAGGTACCATTTGCATGACCCACCCAGGATGATTTTTTTTTTAAAAAAAAATTTTCAGGCCAGGCCCGGATTTTTAAAAAAATATATTATATTTATTTTAGATTTTTATAGCTAATAATGAGCGATTTCAAATATTTGGTTTTCAAATATACAGCCCGGCTCGGATATTTTTTTATAAAAATTATTAATTAAGTTAAAGTTAATGTTCCAATTTGATTTCGTTTTTTACTAGTTATTCAACATAAGCAAAAAACAGGGAGGAAAAAAAATCGTATTATTTTGCCTTTAAATAACCAATAATCTCACTCAAATGATAATGATTTCTAACAAACTAAAATATTTAGTTTATTAATCTGTAAATATTTGTTATGCCTACAAATTTTTTATCGAAATTAAAAGGTGTTGGGCCAAAAATCTTAATTTTCTTTAAGGTTGCACCGATCCGATCTTATATTTGCCGGCATTTTTTCAGTCGAAGATGAGCATTAACACTCCTAATCAAGAGCGTCGATTGAAAAAAAAATATTGATAACCTTTGTTAATTAATGAAATTTAAATTGGCATGATTTTTTTTTTATTTATTTACCATTAAGCGATTTCTCAGTAAAAACAACAATGGAGAAATAAACAATAGACCAATAAAAATACATAAACATTTTCTATCAGTACTAATATATATTCCAATCATCGCACAAATTCTATAAAACCGGAAGTGAAAACTACAAGTTCCTCAAAAAAACAAGACATTTTAATTAAATTGAATATTTTGTTTTAAAAAGTGAAATTCCTTGGGTTCTGATGTAAGGGCTCTTTATTTTACCCTCTATATATTAGAAATATAATTTTAAAGTTAGGATTGACATATGTATAAGGGAAGAAATAACGATTTATAATTTTTTTTTTCTTCTTGGCTATATCAACCAGATTAGGATTTACATTTTTTTTTTAGAAATGAAGAGACACGTGTGAAGTTCCAGATTAAGGATTTACCTAAAGACCAAGGTACAGAAATCTAGCCTTAGGTCACCTCTGATGATAAATTAGCAGGCTCGAGGATCTTTAGTATCTGGGTCCTCATAAGAAAACGGCTAATAAGTGAATTAATCGTGGTGTGTCTTGCATGTCTGTCTTGAGTATGTATTCAAGGAGACCATGTGTCCCTTTGGAATCAACTAATTTATAATTTATGCATGTATGTGGTTGAATTATGTTATATCCAATTCGATGGCCTATGGCAACTCTTAATTGTTCATCTGATAAGAGGTTATTTAGGTAATGACTTGGCAAAACTTCCGATCATTCATAACTATTAGTATAGTCATAATTTTTTAATAGTTGAATATATTCCAAAGGGGCGTTTGATGAGAGTATTTTAAATTTTTTTTAATTAAATCTTCAAAAATTGATTGATTTGTTAAAATTATAGGCATAATAGCTTCAGAAAAGTTAAAAATATACAAATAGTCACAAATTTAAAAGATTATCTTTAGGAGTAAGAAATTATGATGGCATAATTCATCAAATGTGATGCCAAAAAATGAAGAGATATAAGACTTAACAGATATAAATAATAAATCTCATATTTTCAAGGGTAATTGTCAGGAAACACTAGTTAAAATCATAAAATTTAAAATAATAAAAAGATTTAAAAATATATAAAATTTTTGGTAAAAATAAATATTTTTTTTTAAAAAGAAATAAACTTTTGGTGGTATTCTTTCTTATAAAAAATTTTCCCAAAATTATTAACTATTTTTTAAAATAATATTTTCAATAATTGGTACAGCTGTTTAATCAAAATTTATTCCAAACAAATCTATAAGAAAACTTGTAGATGATCCTATCCATATCTTGGCAATAAAAGGCTCTTTTTTTAAAAAATATCCAAAACTATTATATAGCTTTATAAATAATTTATGTTAGGAATTTGTTAATTTTTGATTTTATAGGAGAGGGGTGGGGACAGGGAGTAAAATTTTCATTGGCTTAGTGGGGGGGGGGGGGTGTGCAAGTCTGTTAAATTCTTATCAAAATTGAAAGAAGCGGGGGCCTGGGGACAAAATGGCGAAGACTAAAACAGCAAAAAATTTGGGAACATTTCCCAGTAAGGCAAAAATTTTTGATATGAGAAAAGTATAGAATTAGTTTTACAATGAAAATCCCAACAGTCTCTGAAAATTTAAAAACAATTATTGGGCGTAGAGAATTAGATTATTCAGGTATAATAATTTTTAATAAACTTTTATTTGTAAATAAAATATTAATTAGAAAACAACTTTTAATAAACTTTTATTTGTAAATAAAATATTAATTAGATAATAACTTTTAATAAACTTTTATTTTGTAAATAAAATATTAATTAGAAAACTCAAAAAGGTAATAATTTCATAATTAGATAATAACTTTTAATAAACTTTAATTTTGTAAATAAAATATTAATTAGAAAACTCAAAAAGGTAATAATTTCATAATCTATAAAGGTTATGAATATACCTACCATAAGAAAGGTATAAATGCAACATATTATACCTGTAGAAAAAGATGTGGAGGTAGAGGTAAATTGATGGCAGATTACAAATTTGTCATAAGTATGAAACATCATATAACTTGAAATCAAGGTACATAAATTTAATGTGATGCGGTAAATATATTTTATAACTTAGGGACAAATTCAATTCAGTCAACAAACAACTTTCTCATAAGAGATACTCAATCTTTTCCTGTTGAAAGTATAAATTTTTTACCAGTTGTTTTTAGTATGTTTAATGATTATAGGTCCAAATTTAATTCAGCCAACCTATAATGTAGTAGAAAATGATGCACAGGCTTTGCTCACTACTATTGACAGTATAACCATAGTTTACTTTATTTATTGTATTATATTTAATAATTAAGGCACAAATTCAATTCAGTCTACAAGCAACTATCTCATAAGACATATACAATCCTTTCCTGCTGAAAATATAAATTTTTCACCAATTATACATTTAAAGATTATAGGTCCAAATTTAATTCAGCAACATATAATGTAGTAGAAAATGATGCACAGACTTTGCTCACTACTATTGACAGTATAACCATAGTTTACTTTATTTATTGAATTATATTTAATAATTCAGGCACAAATTCAATTCAGTCTACAAGCAACTTTCTCATAAGAGATACACAATCCTTTAAAGTATAAATTTTTTACAAATTGTTTTTAGTACGTTTAAAGATTTTAGGTCCAAATTTAATTCAGCCAACCTATAATGTAGTAGAGGGTGATAATATATGAACAGGAGAAGCATCTAATGAAGGTTATTATATATTATTATATGAAAATAAGGATTGAGTATCTCTTATGAGAAATTTGCTGGTAAACTGAATTGAATTTGTGCCTAAATTATTAAATATAATACAATAAATAAAGTAAGCTATGGTTATACTTTCAATAGCAGCGAGCAAAGCCTGTGCAGGATTTTCTACTACATTATAGATTGGCTGAATAGACTGAATTGAATTTGTCCCTAAATTATTAAATATATTTAACATTAAATTTATGTACCTTGATTGCAAGTTATATGATGTTTCATACTTATGACAAATTTGTAATCTGCCATCAATTTACCTCTACCTCCACATCTTTTTCTATAGGTATAATATGTTGCATTTATACCTTCCTTATGGTAGATATATTCATAACCTTTATAGATTATGAAATTATTACCTTTTTGAGTTTTCTAATTAATATTTTATTTGCAAATAAAAGTTTATTAAAGTTATTATCTAATTATGAAATTATTACCTTTTTGAGTTTTCTAATTAATATTTTATTTACAAATAAAAGTTTATATCTAATTAATATTTTATTTACAAATAAAAGTTTATTAAAAGTTTCGAGGTGGGTGAGGTGTTTGATTTGACATGAATTGGCTCTAATGTTTTAATATAGGAAAAGGATCATGAATGTATAAATTACACAATATAGAAATATGTAATATAAAGAGTGAATGCACTATTTCAATAAAATTGTTAAAATAAATCAATTATACCTCAATTCATGCATACGTTTTTCCCTGTCAGGATCAGGTGGTAAGGATTTAATTTTTAACATCTGCCTACCTTGCTCCAACACAGGCGCATTTAATCCAGGCCATAACATGTTTTTCTTACCTTAAATAAATATCAATACTTTCATTTATAATAATAATCATTATTACCAAATCCTAAAATTTGACCTTTATTAAGATCCCTAACTATTTTCCTATTTTTTCCTTTTCCTCTTCCTCTCTTTTTGCCTGCTGGGCTAACACTGGTAACTCCTTTCCATAATTCACTAGCAGATACTATAAACAATAATGTAAGTTAGAAAAATAACATTTTAAACTTCTAGTAAAAATATTATCATTTATTATATTTGTGCTGTGTATAAATTTATGAAGTGTAATAGTATCATTTATAATAAAATTATTATATAAATTTAGACGACAAAATTTATCAAAAAGTGAAAGCATGTTTTTCATATAATTTCATATGGTATATGTGATTTCAAATTTACCTCCATGTTAACGATGCTATATATTGACTGGTTAAAAATACACATTTTGAAAACTAATGTAACTTGATATTAAATTTTTTGATCATGCCTTCTCTGGTCAATTAAACAATATATTATTTATTAAATTATTTAAAAAATATTATAAATTAAATGGTTTATTCGGAACTCAATAATAGGAATTTAGTTACCATCAATTGGAGTAGAGAATTTCATAATTGCAGATAACGCAAAGCACTATAGACTTTGCTTTATTTCAATTTTTACTTTATATTCTTATGATTTTTCTATTGGAATCTCACCATTTATATCAAATATATTATCTATTTCAGTGAATCACTAATTGGTAAGTAATTAAGGATAATTGATTTAATTTAACAATATTATTTTCATTTATTTGGGTTTCTTATTTATTCGTTTAAGTATACATTAAAAAAATATGTTTCCTGAAATTTCAACATTGTGTATGAAAATCTGATTTTACCCATTTACCCAAAAGCAAAAAGAATTCTATTAAAGTTAATTATATAAATGAAATTTTGAAATAGATTTTTTTTAAATTTATTAAATACAAATTAAATAAATGAATTTAAATATTGACCATACATATATATCACTCATTCAAAAATGGTACTTAAATATAACATGTGAATGAATATTTATTATATTTTTAGACAAAAACCAAAACAAAAATTATTGCAAAAAAAAATCAAAAGATTAAAATTGTTCACCCCAAAAGCCGTAAAGCTCAAAAGCTTCTCGGTGAAGCGAGTCATTATAAAAAGGCATCAAAATCTCACCGACAAAGAAATGAAAAAACTAATTTAATGATTAAAAAATTATTGTGGTTTAAAAATCATATAACTTCTACAGATATTGATAAAACATTTTATTCGGTAGATGAATTGAGGCAAATAATTGCTAATTAGTAAGGATCTCTTACTTATTTTACATTACACATTTTAGTTATATTAATAGATTTGATGATGAATTAGATCAGATACACATAATTAATACCATTAATAAAGATAGAAAAGGTAGGAGACATGTTCCAAGAGAAACAGCAATAACCCTTACTAAAAACTCTGAGATGAATGAATTTGAAGGTGGAGGTTTAGGTAATATAATACTCAGAAAGCAATATTTAAATTTTATAAAAATATTTTTTTTAGCTGTACCTGATATAACCTCACAAAAACAACTTCATTATTTCAAGTATATTATTAAATATTAATAAATAATTATTAAAATTTTTAAGGAATATATGGAATGGGGAAGAAAATTTGTTACCTAATATAAAAATGTGTTATATTAAGAAAGAAATTATATAATTCATGAATTAACAATATTTAAACAATTCATATATGATTTTGAATAAAATTTATATAACAAGATATATAAATCAAATGGAATTTAAAAATAATATTATTTATAACTAAATTAAAACACAAATCCATTTTCAATAACTTTCTTTTATTAAGAATATGTTTTACAATTATATATATAATTCCATGACAAATATTATATTTGGGCCAGACAAGATAAATTATACCTATTAAATCAGGCAGGGCCTTACAAAATATAATGGGCCAACTTAGAATTTTGAATTTCAATCCTATACCTGTCTAACTAAAAAATGAAATATATAAATAATACAGTAAATTCATAAAAAATCAAACAAATTATTTATAATATGATCTAAACAATACAGATATCAAACATATAATTATAAAATTTGTGTTGCAGAAAGAAATAGAAACTTAGAGGAGATTTATAATAGCTTTATTTGACATTGAGGGGACATTAGATATTAAAGATGTAATAGCCAAAAAATTAGTAAAAAAAATTAATGGGTCTGGTAGCTGTTATTTGTGCAAAAGTTCTTAACAGCAAAAATGGGTTGGACTTTGTAAATCTATATAGTATACAAATTTAAAAAATACTTAAAACTTCAAAATTTTGTCTTAAATATATCCTTAGTAGAGGTAGATTCAGTCCTAATTTGTTATTGATGACCTGCCCAGTCATGCTGACACTAAAAAAAAATTTACTTCTTTTAGCTCAAATTCCCACACAGTTTGCTGGATACCAAACTGGCTGAGACTGGTTTAAAATTCTAACATTCAATAATTCTAATCAATTTATTCAAATTTTTTGTTAAATTATTTGTCAAAATTCTTGTATTTTATAAAAAAAAAAAAAGATTTGGACAGTCTCATAAATCATTTCCTGGAAACCCAGAATTCTATAAAATGTGTCAAAAAAAAATTTATTTTTCAAAGATTATTACTTAAACATTTTTCTTGATTTAATAAAACCATAATTATGTCCCATATTTTTTTTTAAAGCCCTTGCACATCTCCACTAATCTGGAAATATGAGCTTTCAAAGTACAATGTGGCCATATTCTTCTTTACCAATCTCAAATTATTTGTTATACAATATTAAATTTAAAAGAACTGAAACAAAGGTAAAATTTTAAGCCCCATTATGGCTCAGAATTTGAATTTTTTTATTTTCTAGACTTAATATAGATTTTTTTTTAAATTTCAATTAAATAACATTGTAAATTGTTTCAAAGAATAAGTGAAAATAAAGGAGAAAATACATGATTAACAGTTTATTTTATGATTTTACAAAATGATTAATTGTTAATTTTTTTTTAAAAAAAATCAACACATGTGTCATAAATTTGGGTATGTATGATTCACTAAAATGTGTGGTCTGGAGATTTTGATTTTGTTCAATAGATGGCAGTAAGGGTATGGACATATATTTGCCAAATCTCGAGGCTTACATAATATTATTTTGTCTAAAATATTAATTTGGCCATTTAACAACACTACAAGGAAGCCAGTTTAAAAGTATAAACAGAAATTTTCACGATAAAATCGCGTTTAGCAGAAGCTGAAGGTTGGAGGAGTGTCTAGGCACCCGATCCTGTCTTGAACATACCCACGTTGATGCAAGTTGACACCGATACTAAATACAGTATACTTCCGAAACTGACAGCTAAGACTGTAGACAATACTCAATTCTTTATCTCTTTGATTTTCCCATTAAATCATTGGGAGGGGGCGGGGTACAAGATTTAAGAATTATTTTTCCTGAAACTTCGATTCAAAATGTTATAAGTTTATTTTTTATCGTTTCTTTTTGGAAGAGATATCTATAAGACCATTAAAAATAACCGCTCTAGATGAAATAGAATTCACTAGTCAGAAACGAAAGCGTGATGGAAAAATTTTATAAGGAAAAAAAACTTACAAATTATATTATATTTTGAAAAATATATATAGAAGGAAAAACTCATTTACCACGTTTTTGTTTTAAAATTTATCCACAAATATGTACAATTTAAAATTCAATTGCAATTGTTTACGAAATTATATACATGCTATATATTAAAATTATGAATATATTTTAAATAAACGATGCTCTTAATTAAAGTGGCTCTATTAAAAGCAGTCTGCTACCATTTTTAAGTAGTGACTTCATCTTTTTATGAAAAAAAAATATTAGCCAATTGATAACAGTGATGAGAACCGAACCTATATAAAGGTTCGGGGTGGGGAACATAAAGAAATATTTGACTAAAAATTACACCATTTATATATATATTTTTTTTATATAGTGGGTATAAAATAATAAATATGCATAATTTACAAGTAAAAATTTTTTTAATTAATATATTAAATGTTTTTATTTTAATCGCATGTCGCATCGTAGCCCCTAATCAGAGATGGGCAGGTCCTCCGGAAAAAGAATCTAGATACAGATACAGATTCTTTTTAAAAAAATAAATCTTAGATACAGATACTAGTATCTTTTCAAATATCAAAAAGATAAAAGATATTGTATCTTTTACTAAATTAGAGAATTTGCAGGTTATTTTCTGTGTTGTTTTAAATATAGCTTATATTCGGAGTATATGGATAAATGGCATCTCTAAAAAAATATACTAGTTTTATTTTATTCATTATCTTTAATAAGTATTTATCATTACTTGTTTGTGATACTTATGTATTTTTTAAATTAGTTTTATTTTCTAATATTACTTATTAATTCTTGCTTTTGTAATATCATATATATAAATATCTTTTAAATCTTTTTTCAAATTTTTTCTAAATATTTCTTGCAAAATCATTAATTATATATAAAAAGTATGAAAATAATGTACAACATTATATTATTTAATTATTTAATACATAACAATTTTCTTTAATGCATTTTAAATTGATTAAATTTTGTAAATAAAGTAATGTAATTTTACTCATATCATAAATAAATAAAAGTAACTAATAAAGTTAAATTCTACCTTATTATAATTATTTTATTAAGAGCCTTTTAAAATTATCTAATATTATATATCAATTGTAGCTTAAATAGAACTTGCTAAAATAATTAAATATAAAATATATTAGGGATATGCCGATATTTTTATCGGATCGGATCGGGCCGATATTTAAACCCATTTTAAAATATCGATTATAGGTCAATATTATAAAATTTGATCCGATATAAAAATGGCTTCTTTAACAAAAATAAAATGTTATAAAATGAAAAAAAAAATAGTTATATCTATAATCATTTATTTTTATAAATAAAATCGAAATCCATTATTATGTATATTTTTTTAGTAATAATAATTAATTAATAAACATTCTATCATATTGTTATTTTTTTGCGCATTCTGTTCATAAAAGTGTGCGATAATCACTACAGAATCTGTTTTTAGTGAAGCTGGTGATATTGACAGGTACTATCGCCGCAAGCTGACCTCTGATAAATCGGAAATATTGGTATTTCTAAAAAGAAATCTTCCCTATATTAATGCTAAATATTATTTTAAATATTTATTTCTAATTGCATAATTTAATTGTTTATTATTTAATATGTATGTAGATTAATGTTATTACTTATTATATAAAAGTGATTTAACAATAAAAATATTTTATATACTTTTAGAATTGTAATTGAATTGAATATAAATTATAACTGATCATTATAAATATATTTATATGACATAAGTTATGGTACAGTTAAATTATAGATGTTATACTAATAAAAAGTATATTAAAAATTAAAACCATTGTTATCTTTACAGAATACAAAATTAGATATATCGGGAATATCGGATCGGGTGGACCTCTAAAAAGTAGTATAGGTACACCCCTAAAAAATATATATATTCAAAATGATTTTAATTTGATAATCAACTATCTTCTATAAAAAATTTTAATAACAATTATCTAAGAAGGATTTAAGTATTTTAAAAAATGTATATTATACTTTAATATGTTTAACAAAGTTTGTGAGGAGTATGTTCAATCTTTAATAACTTTTTTACTTGTGTAATTTTGACGTTCGGCTTGCACCCTGTCCTTTTTCACATGAATTACTATATAAAATTTTTCATCTAGAATTTTAAGATTCAGATTTGACTCAGGAGAACCTATCTCCATTGACTACTATAAATGTTAAACATTCTACAAATTAAAAAACATTACATATAAAATATATCCTTTTCTTATTTAGTTTTGGTGTTGTTTTTAATCTTCTTTGTACCTGTAAAATTTCCAACTAATTTTGGTTATCATTATATAAAATATAGCAGGATAAAGAAAATAATACAAGATTTCACGAAGAAAATAAAGTTACATTGTGTTGTGATATGTAAATGTTTTAAACATGAATATTAAAAAGAATCTGTATCTGTTTAAAGAAAATGAAAAAGATACAAGATTCTTTTCAAAATAAAGGATCTTAGATACAGATACTAGTATCTTATTAAAAATGTCAATAAGATACTGAGTACAAGATAAAAAAGGATCTTGTATCTTGTATCTTAGATACAAGTATTCGCGGTACTGCCCAACTCTGCCCCTAATTACCATTTATAATAAAATATTATTGCCTACACTACGAAACATGGGAGAATCAGAGATTTTGTTAAGTGGGGGTAAGTGCATTATTAGGTATAAATTTAATTGGAGATCCTTATGTCCAACTATTGTAGGCCTTGGGCTAATTTTTATAACAATAATTTTGTGCTTTATGAACTTTCGATAATCATTTTATTGGGGGTGAGGGCTGTGTAGGTGGGGGGAGGGATAGGGGGGTAGTGGATTTTTATTAGCTTTAAAATGATATTTACGAAAACAGGAAAATTTGCCATTGGGGGGAGGGCACTTTTTTACCCGTCTGCTACAAAGTTCCCAATATTTCACTTTTTAAAATTGATATAAAACGGGATAAGCAACGTATTCCTTCTTCTTCTCCTCCGTTTAAACCACGATTTACATGTTGGCCAGTTTTCCCTCTCATTAAATCATTAGGAAATTTTGTGGCAAGGTTTTTTACAATCTGATGCCCTTTCGACATCA